ACTAACCAGGTTTTTCCGTCCCTCCTTAGTATATGAGCAAGCTGTCTTTCCCAGGAAATCAAGGTCCAGACATCAAGATTGAGCCTCACAAGTACAAACGCAGGCTGAAGACGAAAACTAACCAGAAAAGTCCCGACGGCCAAGGGAAAAGAAATTCAGTCTTCAAGGCCAAACACAGGCTGGTGGGAAGGCACCGACCAGCAAGGCCACATGCTCCTCTCCCGCTACCTAAACCCCGAGATAAAAACCCCTACCTTTTTCCCTTCCAGGAGGTGGATCTGAGTTCTAACTCCCATCTCTTCGTCTGGCTGCCTTTCGATAATAGTAAACCTCTTTCCTTGCCACAAGCCTGGTGTTTCAGGATTTTTTCTTTATTGGCCTTACTGTGCAGTGGGTAAACGAATCTGTGTTTGGGTTGGTAACAATACCATCCTTTGCTCTCACCTCTATCAGGGTGCATTGCTCTCCCCAGAATCATTCTATGGAGACTTAACTAAGGAATCATGGATAAAAGTTAAAAAGTAAAAATAAAGCAAGCCAGAATAATGGGAATGTGCTGCAGGGTTCGCAGGATTACAGCTCGCTTCTAAAATTATTGAACAACTGCAGAAGCTCTCCTTCAGATTCCACACATTTTGACACCAGTCTTAGACTCGGCCCCTGCCTCAGGGCAGGAGATGAGGGGTACTGACCCCCAGCTGAAGGCTCAGCCCAGGCCGGCCTGGGGCCAGAGCAGGAAGAGGTCCCAACGCACAGTCGGGGGCTCAGCACGGACTCCCCAGGAGCTGGTTCATCCATGATTGCTGATGATCAAAGCTTGCTGCTGGTTAGGACTGGCAACAGACACACCGATACTCTGGAAATACTTTCTACATTTCATCACTTAACCTCCTACGAACCAGGGGATACTTCCACATCTTTTTTTCTAGCAAAATATATCCTTGTGAAAATTGTTAATTAGGTACAGTAGAACCCGGTACCACAATCCCTGCGACTGAAAATTAGAATTAGCTCAAGGTTAAACTGCGTTCTTTCAAGCATAACTTGACACGATGAAAGCCTAACCTATCAGTTCAGGAAAGATCTCCCTTTGTATGAAATAGAAGTAATATTTTAAAAAACTAAAGCTCAGGGGCAGAAAGTCAAACTGTAACCTTAGAAAAGTAATTTATAGGGAATTGTTTCTGTCCGAGGCCCTCCTGTCCCCAAGAGCAGCGGGGTAATGGTACACTCCACTGAGAAGACCATCTCAAGTATTAAATCTTGTCACTTACCTTCAAAGACGAGTCTCCACGCTCCCGGAGCATGTAAACATGAACAACGGTCTGTCGATGAATATGGACTTATCTCTACTCCCTTAAGCCTTCAAATGATGGTGAATAACATACCACAGTACCAAGTCTAGATGTAGTCCAAGGTAGAGGTTAACTTATCCTGAGAGCTCCGATGGGCCAGGCCCTTGATGGGGATTCTCACATCTAAGCCCCATAACAAGCCTGACGTGGGTGACATTCACTACTTTCTTGTTCAATCGAGAAGGAAAAGGAGGTTATTAACCAGTCTGAGGTCAGGCGCACACCCAAGAAGGTCGGGATGGAAATCCAGGAAGTTTGATCCAAGTCCAGCTTAGCTACTGCCCTGGGCTGCTGGACTGGTCAACTGAGATAACCTAACGCTTCTTGCGACTAATCCGAAAGCAATGAAGAAAGGGAGTTCTCTTATTTTTTACATATTTTTTTGACCACGAAATTTGCTAGCCATAGGGGGTGCCTGAGTGAAGCCAAAAAAAAAGGCCGTTACATCCCGATGCGATGGACAAACGAAGGGGCTGCGAGAGCAAAGTGGGGAGGCCAGGGAAGGCTCTCTGGGGTAGTGGCCCCAGGAGGTTTGTAAGCAGGGGCATGAAATGGCTAGTGGGGTGTTTGTGGAAGACCACTCTGGCTACAGTTGGGAAAGATCTTTGCAGCAAGGCGCCCCTTCTGCAGTCTCGAGTGCCTCAGCCTCAGGCCAGATCTGCTCCCAGCTCCACTCCTCTTGGCCCATAGCTGCCATCGCAAAAGCCCACACGGCCAAAAGACCCACACTGATGCTGCTCTCAGGGAACAGGACGGGGCTGTGACTTCCTGCAGGTTCACCCGGGTCGCTTTGTGTGTGTCTGCACCTGGGCACGAAACCACCCCCCCTCCCTTCCGCCATTCCTCCGCTCTCCCTCAAACCCGCTATCATACAGTTCTTAGGTATAACTTAAAGCTATTTGTAGATTTGCTAAACAATTCTTAAGTGGAATGTGAAATCTATTTTTTTTTTTTAAATCTATCACTTCAGCTACTTTTGTGTGACTATCCACCAACATCTATTTTTTCCCGTCAGTGGCTCTCAGGAACAAACTTGGAAGCCTCCTCCCCTCTGGTTTAAATTTACTTCAACAAAACCTTGCCAACACAAAGGTCGTTCCTCTGAACTCTTAGCACAAGCTCTCCTGTCACAAATAACAAGGTACAACTTTTCTCTAAATACCTAAGTAAGCCATTTAATAAATTTACAAGAATTCTCTCTCAAGCTAGCTGATGTGGCTTTAATAATTATAGGAAAGCTTGATGTCTCAGATTCTACACAAATAAATTTAATACGGCCAATAACAATAAACCCAAGAGACTTCTTAAAAGTTACCTTCTGCCCTAAAATATCTCCAAAACTCATAGCTTAAATGAAGTGTGACATTTACGTAACTACCAATTTACGAAACAAAAACTACCTGAAATCATACAGATGTTTAATCTCCTAAAATAACTTCCTCTATTTCTAAAGGGTCTAATAACAGTACTTTGAAGTTGGGACAAAAATCCAATAAATCACAATGAGATGAGCCAAATGCACTGCCCTGGAGAGCTGTGAAGCAGATCTGGCATTTCTAAATAGATGATGTGTGCTATCGCTGTTTGTACAAGGAACTTTGGTGTCACCGTTCTAATTATCACAGTGAATTCTAATTATGCAGATCATTAAAATTATTCAGACCGACTTTAGATAGCATCTTCAATTTTCCACTTGGTAAAGACTTGCTAAGCATATAGAAAAAAAGTATTAATTAACTTCCGGAAAGAACATTTCCATTTCTTGTAGAGCTCAATGATTCCTTAAACTTGTAAGCTCTCTGCTGACTGATATGATCTCTCTCTGATTCATTAGCATCTGAGTCAAATTATTCACTTGGCAGCTCTCCCTGAGTCCTAATATTCTGGGGAGGTTTCTTACCTTGATGTTTCCCTCCTTATAAGTTGCTCATCATTTCATTTTTCAGACGAACCTAAAGGTATATAGGCAGATCTAAGAAAAAGCCAGAAGCAGCGAAATTATGGAAAAGGACCATACAGCACACCACATGTGAAGACAAGACAAGAATCTGCAGACTCACATGTGCCCCATGGCCCGGTATTCATCCAGGGACAGTATAAAGTGATTTGTTAATGGTATTCTTTCCAAAGGACAAGGTCACAAACTTGGCTCGGCTGCTGTGTGGCAGCAGCAGAGGAGAAAGCTTGAGCACATGGCCTTCCTTCCAGTGTCATTTCTAAAACAAAATGGTTCAAGTGGATGAGTTCCAACCCCCTCTAAGATTCTAGTAAGCTCTTAGCTTAGAGCAAACACAAAAGGTATCGATGGGATGTAACATATAATTCAGGTAATAAAAAGGCTTTTTGTGAGGATAATCTGCTTTTCTTTTCCCTTAAGCCAGGAGCTCTGTGATTAGCTGGGGGGGCCCTCTAATCTGACAGGCTGACAGGACAGCCCTGAGTGAAGGCGGGGGCTACAACTTCCCTTTCTTTTGGGAATCCCTAACCTCTGGGAGGGACATTGGCAGGAGCAGCAATCTACAAGAGGACCCGGCAGGTCAATCCTCACCTCACGAAGCCAGTTTCTCAAGGGGCCCTCAAGCAGACTAACAACACAGAACAAGCCTCTAGAAAGGCTCTGGGGAAAAGAGCCATCCTTCCTTCCTTGTTGTCACTTTTGCCCTTGTCAAAATGCATCCTTCTTCCTACCTCTGGCACCGTAAAGAAGCAATTCTAAATAGATGCTCTGTTTAAGCCGCTGGAGATGAATGAAGGCCTCTGGGGATCCAAAGGCGCACCTGAGGGGATGGGCTTTCTTCCCAGGAACCACTCTAAACTCTTCAGCTCCATCGTGCCAGTCTCAGGATGGAGAAACACTGAGAGTCTTATAAAAAGATACCGGACACGGGAAGACGTTAGAACATAGCTTGATGGCAAATTTTACAGAAGAACATGAGAATCACTCTTAATTCCTAAAAACAAAAGCTCACAGGTACTAAAAACCCTTACAGACTGCTATAGACTGAGTGTCTGTCTCCTCAAAATTCTCATATTGACACCTAACCCCCGAAGTGTGGGTGTTGGGAGGTGGGGCCGTTAGGAGGTGATTAGGTCATGAGGGAAGGACCCCTATGAATGGGATCAGTACCCTTATAAAAGGGACCCCAGGGGGCTGGCCCGGTGGCGCAAGTGGTTAAGTGCACGGGCTCCGCTGCGGCGGCCTGGGGTTCACCGGTTCGGATCCCGGGCGTGCACCGATGCACCACTTGTCAAGCCATGCTGTGGCGGCATCCCATATAAAGTAGAGGAAGATGGGCATGGATGTTAGTCCAGGGCCAGTCTTCCTCAGCAAAAAAAGAGAAGGACTGGCAGATGTTAGCTCAGGGCTGATCTTCCTCACAAAAAAAAATTAATAATAAAATAAAATAAAAATAAAAGGGACCCCAGAGAGCATCCTAGTGAGGACACAGTGAGAAGACGCTATCTATGAACCAGGAGCGGGCCCTCACCAGACACCTAACCTGCTGGAGCCTTGATCTTGGACTTCCAGCTTCCAGAACTATGAGAAATAAATTCCTGTTGTTTATAAGCCACCCAGTCTACGGTACTTTGTTATAGCAGTCTGAACGGACTAGGACACAGACTTACTGCTATCCAGAATTAACGACTCACACACAGCATCCCTGGGTAGGCAGTTTATTTTAAAAAACAATACCCCAGTTATCATATTTCCTTCCTTGTCCATCATTTTTCTTAACAGAACAAGTTACAAAAATTTGGGGGGATATATTATCTTTGCAGACCGACACATTTGCAGAAGACTCATGAATAATGATTCAAAAGCTCCCAGTTGTACTCCCGAATCAGGCAAAGAGTAAATGACAATATAAGAACAAATTTTGTTTACAGCAAGATCATAATACAACATTGAATTACTACAGTGCAGTGGTTATAATTAGGTTCACAATAGAATATTCTTAGCCCAAACACCAGACACACTAAAATCACCGACTGCTTACGTACTGGGAGAATCAGTGCAAGCAGTTGTGTGAAGAGAGAAAACCAAAATCGGTAAGGCTTTTCTGGCAGTGAGTCTCTGCCCCAAGGGCTCCTGGGCATTCGGCTCAGGGAGGACCCGGGCCGCCCTCACTTTGCGTCTTGGTCTTTCTTTTCATCTAAAAGGGCGGAGCGGATCCCCAGCTTTTTCAGTTCTTCCACCAGGTCCCCGTTCTGGTGCATCTGCAGAAGAATGTCACAGCCCCCCACAAACTCGCCATTGAGGTACACTTGCGGGATGGTGGGCCAGTTGGAATAGTCTTTAATGCCTGTGGGGAAAGAACATTTAAGAGTCATTTAAACGGTCAAAGTTGAACTTTTCACAGTAAAATATGTTTTTTACCCACTCCTAGCAGAACATCCGGTGTCCTTGCTTCCCCCATCCTTGGGGAACAATGTGTTTGCCACAAAGAGCATAAATGGACCGCTGTTTAAACCCTAACTCTCCCAATTACACACTGTGAGACCTCAGACAAGTGACTTAACCTCTCATCCTGTTTCCACCCTCATCTCACGGGGTTTTTATGAGAATCAGGTATGTGAGGCTCTCATAAATTACCAGGCAACAAGTGACACTGGATTAACAGCAGAGAACTGGATTGGTTAATGTAAGTCACACAAGATACGCAAAGCCATATTCTCCACGCATCTGCCAGTCATGTTTCCAGTGAAAGAACGCTTAAAAGAAACACCACAACTTCTTCTCCAAATGGACTACTTACCATGGATCCGGCACGGTAACTCACTGAGAAATGAGGCAGTCCCCACCTCATGCTTTTGTACCCGTCGGGTTGGTGAATGCCACCAGCTACTTATACTCAAGATGCTGAGTTCCTGGTTTTTATCTTCAATAATTCTTTTACCCAGAGAAAAACCCCTTTCCCATGGCTACAGACTGCAGCCCTCATCCTGTTCAGCCCCTTGGATGGGCTCTCCACGGGGCAGGCGATTTGGCTCAGCACAGAACTCGCAGTGACTGAGCTCAATGAAGGAAAGGCCCATGTCCTGGGCCAGGCGCAGGGCCACGGGGTGAGGGAGACCCACCCCCTGCTCTCAAGCGCTCAGAGCAGACAAGAAACCAACCAGCGCACGTGTGATCAGTCCTATGTGCGAACGGCTTTGAGGACACACAGAGATGAGGCTTTTTCTGTGATACAGCAGCCGTGTGACTATTCTGTTCAGTTCTGGGCCACGACAATCATAGTTACAACAAAACAGTAGGAAATAAATGTGGTTTCGATCTTAAGACATAAAAGATTACTCTTTTCTAACATTCTTCCCCATCATTCTACTTCCCTTTCTACTCACATGCTGAGATGAAATACACTTTTAAAACATATCAAGCCAATAAAATGTCTGTGCTGGTTATGTTAAAAACAGAGGATGGTCAAAAGCACAACACATAATAATCAATCACTATAGATTATATATGATATTTTTATACCTTATATAGGCAGATATTTTTAAATGGCCAAAACGAGCATACAAATAAAACAGAAAAGTCAACAGATTCTTCAAACAAAATACAATATTATACAAATTTAAAAAAATCAGTCAAGTGCTGGTTTTTATGTAAACAAACGAAAAATGCAAAAACTGGTTCCTGATATCCTATCATTTACTATCAAATATGTACTTTCCAGATAAAATTGCCAATTTGAGTTATATCACAAATAACAGTCCCAAGATATGAGGTGTTTTTCTCTTCTAAAAGTCGCTGCCTTCTAAAAATAGTGACTTTGTTCTAAGTGACAGCACTAGGGAAGGCCCCCCAAGGAAGGGCTTTATCTTTCTTCTCCAGACTTCATGTATGAAGAGATGGTGATGATGTTATGGGTCCCGAAAAGCACACTTGTTTGTTTTTCTGAATTTCTTTTTGTTGTTGAGGTATAACTGACATATGGCGTTATATTGTTTCAGGTGTACAACATAATGAATCAATATTTGTATATATTGCAAAATGATCACCACAATAAGTCTAGTTAACATTCGTCACCATACATAGTTACAAAATTTTTTTTCTTGTGATAAGAACTTTTAAGATTTACTCTCTTAGCAACTTTCAAATACACAACACAGTATTATTAACTATAGTCACCATGCTGTACATTACATCCCCAGAAAAGCACACTTTTAAGCCACTCTGGGTGTCTTCAAAAAAAGTCAGCTAAAGGTATGGGAGTTACCAACAAAGGGCAAATTCCATTAACCATCAGAAAGTCTTTATAATACCAAATAGCTAGAAACACTAGAATACCCCAATGAACTCAAGTTTTTCATCATTCTCATGTTTGCTGCTACATAATGACTAAGCATGTAAGTTGTGTGTTTTGGTTTTTTCTTTAAAACTCTATCCTCAGATACAAACATTCTATCAGAACTTATTTTACAATGATGCTAGTTACAAATTTACCTTTATGATGACTGAGGGTGGGTATGGGAATTAAGAAACGTTTAAAGTAAATATAAACTTACTTTAACTCTTCTAAACTTTTTAAAATATCTTTTACAGTTATGTACATGAACCATCTATGTGCATGATATTAGACCTGGGTTTCTTTTTTCAATTAATAATATATTGTGTTAAGCCTTCCATGACAATAAATATCTACTGATTTTTTTGGAGAGTACCTACAATTTTTGAAACATACCAAAAATGAAAATAAATTTGCAGTCTGAGGGCCACCCAAAAACCACAGTTTAATCCTAAAATGTATAGTTTTTTTTTAAATAAAATCTTTGCTGAGTAAAAGAACGACCTGCTCTCATCAGTCATTTTTACAGTACCACACTCAATCAAAGCATTAGGCTTGTCTCATTAATTAAACTTCATGTTGTTGCAGACCATTCGTCCTGACTATAAGGGAAGAGAAGGGAACGCCACCAGAATCAGTACTTATCCCCAAAATTACCAAAACAAGTGGGCTTTCCGACCATCCTGAACATCCAACACACAATCACGTGTGAGGGAGACTGACTCCTTCCAAATCCCTCCGCATGTGGCTGTCTTGGGCAATAACTTACATTTCAAGAACTCAGAACAGCCTCACCTTGGAGTGCATGATGACATGCGACAGTGACCAAGGTGCCCACTATCTGACAATGTATCAAAATTAAACTCACCTGTTTCTTTGTTAGATTAACAAGTGTTACACGCAGCTGGTGTCAAGACAAAGTTTTGTCATCTTAAAAATTATGCTATTTTCCATTTTTGAAAAGTATGACTATGAGTTTAAATATTTAAGGAAATATCCAATTGATTCCTATAGAGTGAAGTGAGAAACTTGCAATAATAAAAGACCACTGTTCATAAGTTGAAAATTAAAATGGATCCCATTGATTCACAATTGTTTAAATATGGCTAATTTCTCTCACCTTCTAATTTTCAAAAACTGCAATATACAGTGATAGTGCTTACAAATATCACTTGGAACAACTCAGAATCCGAGAGAAACTCTTAAAATTAGAAAATCATACCCAAGAATGGATTTTAATGATAACCACATTTTATAGATGATAGTGATTTGGTGATTTGTGATTCAATTCGGGACAGAAAATGTTGATGGCAAAGTTTATATAACAGGGTAACACTAGGAATTGGCAGTTTGGAGGCTGTCTTACAAAATCAGTTCTGCATAGATCTACTGCTCCACAAAAAAAATGACATTAGGACTACATGAGATAATCTGAGCTGAAAGCATGGAAAACAGTAGATGCTCAACAGAGGAAAAATAAAGCATGTTGGCAGACTGAACAAGGCGTTGGCTTCAGGGTCAGTGGACTACGGCCAGCTAGCTGGTCAACGTAGCCTCAGAAAAATCTGCTACTCTCTTAGCCTCGGTTTCCTTATCTGTAAAGTGGGAATAACTCTATGCCTCAGAGATTTATCATGAAGATGAAGTGAGATACACTTGGTGAAATGAATTAAGCTCCCAGGGTGCCAGGTACAATGCAGATACTCTCCCCACGACAATATCCTCTACCCCACTCTTCATAGTGATGCTTTTCTGAGAAATATGTGCAACAGGGAAAGAATGCAGGAAAGATACCAATTAAGTATGCCATGGAGTATAAAAATACCCATTCACTGAGCTAAGGGTGACTGAGTTTCATACTCTAAGTGTTTTACATACATAATCTCATTTAATCTTTACAAAAATCCTACAAGATGTATATATAATTATCCCTGTTTTACAGATGAAGAAACTAAGGCTCAGAGAGGTCAAACCACATAACCAAAGTCACAGTGCCAGCATGTGGCAGAGCCAGGACTTCCATCCAGGTTTCCAGGAGTCCAAAGGCCACGTCCTTGCGCACCAGAGGTAGCCCCTGGCCTGTGGCTGGCACTCGTCACCCCTGCCCATGAGCTACACTTGCGCTACACATGTATCTGCAACATTTGGGAGTGTTTCACATCTTTAACATTTGTGTATATAAATTATGGCATTGTGCCATACTTACGTTTTTGCAAATTACCTTTGACTCAACATTGTACTTTTGGAGAATTAGTCATATTAAATACATCTAGATGTGGTTCATTTTATCCACAGTTTAGTTTTCCATCATATGACTACA